ATATGTCAATGCCTTCCCACTTTCACTTGCTTCATGAGCCAATGCCTATTGTCACGGAAACTCGTGGGAATAGTACACTTGTTGATCATGTCGCAGAAAATAAAAAAAAATGTTTGTTATATGGATCCATAAATATTTTTTAGGGTGTATATACATGTATTGGCAACATAAAATCTATTAAAAATAAAAAATCATATATCAAAATAAATACAATCAATAAAATAGATAATATATAAAAATAAATTCGGATTTCAACGTTCACCTCAAACTACCCGTACCAAAATAGCTAAACAAGATATTGTATTAAGTTAGTACAAATAATTTGGTGGAGTTTGGGAAATGGGGTGTCTTCTCTCCTACCACCATGGATGCTTCGTTAAGTTAGATCAATTTGGTATAACTTTTGAAAAGTGATTTTTAAATTTGACATAGAAACGAACTTTTAAAAGTGTAGTTTAAAATTTAATTGTTTGGGTTTGATGTTAAAAATGAGTTTAAAATGATAAAATGTCAATTATAGACATTATGTTGTAAACTAAAAATACAACATTTAAATTATATTTACACTTGTATATGAATCATATCAATTTAAATTATAACAAATTCAAGAAATATTATTATTTATGAATTATATCAATTCAAACTATAATCAAAATACAAAAATATAATTATAATAAAATATATTTTATATAATTCATTATTAATATTTTAATATATAAATCATGAATTTTGTTTATTTTTAAATAATTAAAATAAATTGTTAAAAGTAATAAATTATTTTTTAAGGATGTTAGTATTAAATTATGAAATTAAAATATAAATACAGAATTGAGTGGAATCCATACATCAGTAAGGATAAAATTATAATTTGCTTCCAAACGCAAAGTTGAAAATTAAAAAGTTAGAAACTTAACTTTTGCAGTTGGTTTGAAACTACCGTTTCTACCGCAACTTCTTTTTTCATTTTTTACCCTTTAGACATTAATTTTACGGTCGAAACATACTTTTTAACTAAAAGTAGTTTAAAAAACCATTACCAAACACACCCGAATTATTTATCTTTTTTTTTTATTTCCGACTTTGCGTTTCTACCCGCAATCTACAACGCCTCGCGTATTATCACAACGGTAGTTCTAAAATCGATCGAGAACAACGTTCGGCTGATCCTCACCTAATTTTTCATCCTCTCCTCCACACATCATAGAGTGAAGACAACGTTATGAGTCATTAAAGGTTGGAAAAGATGCTAATGAGTGTTGGTACAAGTGGTTGAGATTCAGAAATTTGAGCTTGTAAGGTCAAATTCGAATCCCACCAGCGTCACTCTTGGTGGGTAATCTGTAAAGTCCTATGTAAATCCTAATTGGATCTTATGTATACCCTGACCCTGGACGGGGAGGCACCCCTAACCTAAACTTTTATGTACCAAAAAAAATTGGAAAAGATAACAAGAGTGCATTTTCCTATATTGCCCATGTACTTTTTAGGCTGACTCATGCTGTCCGTAAGTCCTCTTTTGGAAAACAAGAAATGGAACCCCACGTATTCTTATGCCTTAATTCTTTTCACGTGGAATAGGGGAGGATGCATTAAGTTCCGTAAGACTAATTGTATCTTTATTATTTTAAAAATAGTTACGTACCTATTATTTTTTTAAAAAGTAAAATAAAATTTTAGAGCTCTATTCTAGAATTTCTGTGTCCGTGGTGTGGAACAACTACAAACACTGTGCAGAGTGAAAGAAACATGGTGGAATATGGGGACCAAACACCAAACGCTTGAGGTGATCACAACCCACAACTAGGAGTAGTCTCCCTCTAACTTTTTTCTTATGAGACTTTTACATATTTATATTGGGTAAACTACAAGTTTAGTGCCTTAACTATCACTTTTATTCCGTTTTAATCATCCAACTATTTTTCGTCTCAAAATCATACATAACATTACGTTTTAGTTTCACTTTAGTAATTCACCATTATAAAAATAATGGTAATGTTAACGTGTCATAATAAGATAATGTCAAATCATCATTGAATTTTTTTAAAATATCATGTCAACAATTCTGTTATTTTTTTAATGATGAGTGGCCAAAATAAAATCAAAACGTAACATTACGTATGATTTTGAAAAATAAAATAAAATTGAGTGACTAAAATATAAAAAAAATAACTATGATACCAAATGAGGAGTATTAGGGATTGAAAATTTATAACTTTTTATAGTTTAAATAATTTTACTAATAATTTAATTTTACAACTTAAAAAAATTTATAATTTTTTTTAATATAACTTCTTAAATTTATATTCTGACAATTCATATTTGTACTCCACTACAATGAAATTCAAATGTATAAAACAACCATCTCGAAAGTCAATTTTTGATTTGAATATCATGTAGGCTTTTTCAACAAATGACAATTTTTTTTACTAATTCAAGGTAAGTACAATGTAACATTTGTTTAAAGATAACTCTCACATGTTTGACATTTAACGTTCATATTCTCGATATTCATGACGCTCGGACCCAAAATCTCAATAAATAACAATTTAAATTTTAAATTATATATTTTTTTATTTTTATACTTAATTTTTTATCTAATTTAATATTTAAATTATTATTTTTATATTAATTTATCAAAACTACCTACTTAAGAATGAACATATCACGTGTTATGTTCACTTATAGATAATTTTTTAAATAAACGAGAATGAAGTAATAATTTAAGTACAGCAAGTATTGAAATGATATGATAAATATAATTTAAGCACCAAATTGTGAATTAACCCTATATATAAATAAAACATTAGAAATTGATGGCATTCCCGTCATTTCAAGCAGTTAAAAGATGATTTGATTAAAACAAAAAGGCGGGCATCGTGGGAATCCTCTTCGTTTTCAGTGTCTATATATTACTTTGTCATACTATGATATTTAGGTTAAATTACCTTTATAGTCAACAAATTATAGAATTGATTCTTTCTTACCACTAAACAAAAAAAATTATCAATTAGATCAACAAACTTTTAATTTGGTTTCAATAAAATCATCGATCATTAGTTGTCAACGAAATTGTACAATAATATGTTATATCATTTTTTTTGTATACATCATATCAATTTGATCTTAATTTTAATTGCAAATAACTTAATAAATTAACCTCTACTAACATAATCAACATCTTATAAATGAAAATTAAAGGAAATTAAGAAGGTTTAAACCTAATTATATATATATATATAATTATTAAATTAATTTTTATATCTAATTATTAATTTTAAACTTATATATAAGCTACTTAATTATATTTAATTTTTAAAAAATAATTTAATTTTGATGATTTATCCACTAAACAAACTGTCGGTGGATGCTCATGTCTCGCTTTCTTAGTGGGTTCTTATCCACTATTTTCTTATTGGTATTAACGAAAAAGGTATGTGAAAAGCTCCAATGAAAAAGAGAAGCTAATTAAATTGTTGGAGATAAATACATGTACCACTAAATGATTTATAACTAAATTACTCTCTGAGATTTTCAAAGATTGTATATATTAATTTAGAATCTCTAGTTAAATTTGGTGTAATCAGATCGTCAAATATTAATTTAATTAGATTTCTTTAAAAAATCTAAGTTATATTATATATATATATATTGATCATTATCAGTGGCGAAACTTTGTGATAGAGTTTGAGAGGCCAATTTAATACTTTAAAAAATTTAGAGGATTAAATTAAAATTTTCAAAATTTTTGAAGGGTTTATTTATATATTTTTTAAAAAAATTGGGGTATAAGTAAAATTGTTTGAAATTTTGAGTCTTAATGATAATTTTTGAAAGTATGATAAGGGTTTTAATTAAGAACATTAAAGAATTTTGAAAGTTTAATCAAAATTTCTAAAAATTTTGTGGGAGATGAATTTTTATTTTTTAATTTAAAAGTATAAATTATAATTTTTTTGGGAGCCGCCTCTACACATCTCTATCTTGTTCCACCCCTAATCATTATTATGCACAATTCTAACTATGTATTTATTTAATATCGACTATCGAGTAATATAATAAATCGTCATGTCAAATAAGTAGTACGTACTTGAATTTATAAAATTTCAGAATTTGAATTTGAAATTATAAATTCTAAGAGCGAAAATAAAATTTTAATAGAAAATATATAGAAAAAAATTTAAGAAATAGGGTAATTTTAAATTTTTAGGAGGGCGACTACCTCCACCCACCCATATAGGTCCTTCCCTGAACTTTGTATATTTAACATTATTTTAAATGTTTATTTGGTTTAATTAAATTAAATTATATATGTATTAAAAAAGGCAGCTGGTTGGATTGTTATATAATAATGGTATATATTATTGTTCTTAGACCATTTTGGATGCTTGATAATCTTAAGTTGGATGTTCATGACTAACTGACATATTGTGGGACAAACCCACGCACTAATCAAACTTGTTAATTATGTCTTTTACTCAACTTAAAAGCATGCAAAAAGTACTCTCGACTTTCTTCTCTTGAATCATTTTCTTTTTCGAATTAATCATTGATATCCGATCTATTATTAATCCAGAATGGGTTGTACATATGTCTATTATGGGCCGATTCTTTCAACATAGTTTACTCAATAGGCAAACGTCAGGATTTGAATCCATAATATTCCTTAATGAATCTAATACCTCGTCCCAAAAACCAATTGATTGTTGATGAATCATTTTTTTATTTTGAGTAAAAGACGTAAAATCAAAATATCTTTAATATTTAGTTAAATACTTTGATTTTCTACGTTTTAATTTTAGTCAAATTATCATAATTTGTGTATAAAAAAGGATTGAAAAAGGGAGTTAAATTTGTAGTCATCTTCTCCGGTGGGCGAAAGAGCTGAAAGTAGAGGACAGCTCATGCTTGCGACATAGACTTAACACCAACCTTCTCCGTTACTCACTTCCACCGTTTTCTTTCTTTTATATAATCCGACACTCTCTTCAGCTCTTTTTATATTGTTTTAAAGTGATATTAATAGCCTTTAATCATCTCTCATTCTATATATTTTCTATCTGCATTTTCCAAATAACAGATTTTTGCAGCAATTTATTATCAGTAGAAGAAAAAAGGATCGTTAATGGCGTATGATAGGCTCCGACCATCGGAACCAGGAGGCTGTGGAGCTTCTCAGGCTGAGCAAAAAAATGATGAACAGCCCAAAGCTAAAAACAATAAGAGAAAGATTGTTATTCTTTCGGTTATTGCAGTGACGATGATTATTGTCTCGGCTGTTTGTGCTGGCCTCGTGATTGGTCTCCGTGAAGGCGGCGCCGACTCAGTTGGCACCCAAGTCCGCCGTAAGCCGACCCGAGCGATTTCCAATACCTGTAGCAAAACTCGGTTTCCTAGCCTCTGTGTCAACTCACTTGTCGAGTTCCCTGGCTCGCTCACTGCTAATGAGCAAGACCTCGTTCACATTTCCTTCAATATGACGCTGCTGCACTTCAACAAAGCTCTTTACACGACCACCTCAATCTCCTACGTCCAGATGGAGCCACGTGTACGGTCGGCATACGACGACTGCCTCGAGCTTCTCGATGATTCCGTCGACGCCCTCTCCCGTTCCCTCTCCTCCGTCATTCCCTCTCAGGACGGCAACAGTCAAGGCGGGTCCACCCAGGACGTGATGACGTGGCTCAGCGCCGCTTTGACGAACCACGACACGTGTACGGAGGGATTCGAGGGAGTGAGCGGGACTGTGAAGGATCAAGTGACCGACGAACTGAAGGACTTGTCGGAGCTCGTGAGTAACTGCCTTTCGATCTTCGCTGAGAGCGGCGGAGACGATTTTTCCGGAGTTCCGATACAGAACAGGCGGCTGCTATCATCGGACGACGATTTATCGGGAGAAAGTGTCGACGATGAGAATTTCCCGAAATGGCTGGGGAGAAAAGAAAGAGAGCTGCTGAGCACCCCGGTGGCGGCGGTCCAGGCCGATATAATTGTATCGAAAGAAGGTAACGGCACCGTTAAAACAATTACCGAGGCGATCAAAAAGGTGCCGGAGCACAGTACTCGGCGGATCATCATCTATGTGAGGGCAGGAAGGTAAGCAAAGATCAAAATTTACTACAAACTTTTTATCTTTACGTCACCTTTTCCATAAAATTCATCAACTTTTCGTTCCCTTTCTAAGTAACGCTAAATTAATCATTTATTTATTTTTATTATTTAATAATTATATTTTTTGAAATATATATTTACAAGATTATTTAATCAAAAACTTTTAAAATATGCAATTTTCAATTTCCTACAGGTACGAAGAGGATAATTTGAAGGTGGGGAGGAAGAAAACAAACGTGATGTTTATTGGTGACGGCAAGGGTCAAACAGTCATTTCGGGAGGAAAGAGTGCATCCGATGACTTTACCACATTCCACACTGCTGCCTTCGGTAAGTTTAAGTAATTTAATATTTTAAAAGTAAATATATTTCATTATTAATATATAAAATTATATATTATCAGTATGGAATATAAATTGTATTTTATTTTCTTTAAAAAATATGTATTTTTAGTAAAATAGGGGGAAAGAAAGAACTATTGGAGCCAAACCCATCAAATGAGCCATATCACCTTATCTGTAACCTTGTCCGTACAATTTAATATTATAAAGAAGTGTTAATCACCTAGTAAATATTGAATTCGAATCTTAAAGATAAAAAAAAGTATTAAAAAAATTATTGTATATTATTTATTAAATAGTAAGTTATCTTTCGATCGTCAAAATTAGAAAGAACCTTCATATTTCCTAGTTAATCACGTTCTTATACTATAGTGTTTGCTTCATTTTCATCGCCTTATCTCCTTTCAGCGGCAACTGGGTCTGGTTTTATTGCAAGGGACATAACATTTGAGAACCATGCTGGACCAGCGAAGCACCAAGCAGTAGCTCTTCGGATCGGCGCCGACCATGGCGTCGTATACAGGTGCAACATCGTCGGCTACCAGGACACTTTATACGTCCACTCCAACCGTCAATTCTACCGCGATTGCGACATCTACGGGACGGTCGATTTCATTTTCGGCAACGCGGCCGTGGTGATCCAGAACTGCAATATTTACGCTCGGAAACCTATGCCCTCGCAGAGAAACACAGTCACCGCGCAAAACCGGAAAGACCCGAACCAAAACACCGGCATCTCGATCCATAAATCACGGATCCTACCCACGCCGGATCTCGAAGCGGCCAAAGGTAGCTTCCCGACATACCTAGGCCGCCCGTGGAAGATGTATTCCAGGACGGTTTTCATGTTATCATACATGGGCGACCACATTCACCCAAGGGGATGGTTGGAATGGAACGGTAATTTTGCTTTGGATACATTATACTATGGTGAATACAAGAATAATGGCCCGGGTTCGGGTGTGGGGCAACGGGTAAAATGGCCCGGGTACAGAGTCATCACTTCGGATACTGAAGCAAATAAATTCACTGTTGCACATTTTATCTATGGATCTTCATGGTTACCTTCAACAGGGGTTGCTTTCATATCTGGCCTACAAGTTTAAAGCTAAATGTTTTTACTTTTTGTTTTGTTCTTAACTTGTATGAAATATATATATATATTTTCCCGTGATATTGTAATATATAACAAGGATTATAGGTAGGTATTGTATTTCGTATTTTTTTATGTAAACATAAATACAAGTGTTGAAATGTTAAATATAAATACGATACGTACGTATCACTTTAATCATAAAACCTGCCCTGTCGTATTTGTTTGTTTGTTTCTGTTATTTTCTAAATTTAAGGTCCTTGCACGGTCAAGATCGTGCGGATACAAGAAAACGATGTCACAAATTATTCCTGCTCTCGACTGGTTGTGGACTTGGTGGGTTGCTGCTGCTGCGACATTTACCTAAAGTTATTGCTATTCGAGTTCATCGACGGACGGCGGTCATCTTCGTCTAACAGAAGCAATAGGCGGGAGAGAAAAAGGATAGAGTTCTGATACTTTTTCACTTGTTTAAGGTCAAATAGTCCTGATTAACGAAGTGTAGTCGAGGCCCGAGGGATAAAGAAAAGAGTCCCGAACGTCAGAATTCAAACCTTAGACTCGATGACAGATTCTCGACAAAGAATTGCAGCACGGCATTCGGATTGTGGCAATTAACATGATGTTCCATCCCCTCCATGTTGTCTGACATGTCTTTTCTGGCATCGACATGGTTAGGTTCATTCACATGTATTTGATGTTACTAACGGGAAAAGATTTATGGTCAATTTGCCTTTGTGCATGAAATCAGTTATCTGCATTTGTGTTCAAATTCTCGTTAACATTAAGCTTCAAGGAATCTGAAATTTTATCAGATAACAAAATTCCTCCCCAGTAGTTAAGGAAGCTGTTATGGAATCTGCAAATTTTCGCAGACGTGAAGCTCCAGTTCTAAGTACTAACTGAAGAAACAGTAAACTTAATCGAGCTACCGATTTCACGTGTAGCAGCTAATTGGAAAGGCATCTAACAACTAACAGACATCCAAAGCACATTCTTTACAAAAATTTACAATCACTGTTTAGGAGATGAGAGATGAACAAACATGACCTCACTTGAGCTTTGTACTCAGATCTCTGACCTCGTTTATTGCAAGTTTCGCAGCATATATCGCCATCTTCTTTACCTATACAAAGAATAGGTTGCTAAGAAGCGTCCTTTCATCGATTATATTAAAGAGGTCAAATTTGCATGGAACTGGACACCAAAAGCTTGTCGGAATTCATATTCAGATGACAACCATCTTTAATTGTCTCATGAACTTTGAAGCAGTCTTTATAGATACTAATGAGCACATTGATAGTTCAGCTACCTGTACACATTAGTCATCACTTGTGTTTTTCGTGCGGAGAATTTAACAAATAGGGACCTCGTTGCGTAAAAATAAGTAAATTAATATGTATCTCCAATTCCGGTTGAAAAGAAAATGTACCTCCAATTTATCTTCCTTAGCTTTATGGTCTTTCGGAAGCAAGCGGAACTCCTCCGTCAATCTTATGCACTCTTGGACGTTTTCAGGGGACACAAAATCGAGGGCTACTTTAATGCATGACTGGAAAAACAATGGCCTGATGGTGTTAGCTTGAAAAAGTAAAACCCACATCAAAAGATGAATGAGATTTATGCTAAATTATGGGTACTAATTAGAATCAAATGGTTCTGTAACATGAAAATACTGGTTGGTGTTTGGGTTCAGACACTCAAACGACCTTACGGAAACGAACATCTCCGTGATGGAAATCTACAACCACATCATGTAAGAAAGATTTTCTAGAATTGTGATATGGAAACTCATTAGAAACAGGCTACTGAAAGCAGAGGAACCTCACCTGTCGATTTCGCACTTGATGAGGACATCCTGCGGGAATGAAAACAGCTTCACCAACATGTTGCTCAAACGTCCAAGGTTCAACATCTGTTGGCCAAGTCTCCATTAAAAATATACGAGTTGATTTGACATAGGAAGGAAACAACTTTCAAATAAAAAATTCTTACTGAACTCCTCTTTCAGCTGCTTTTTATGTTTCTCACTTAGATAAAGGGTCTGATCATGAATAGGATGGATAACCTAAAGCACATGTTGCACGTCAATTTAGAATAATTTCTAAAAATATAGTCCAAATGGGCAATGACAGAAGACAGCAATGATACGCACCGATTTCACAGGAAGATTACTAATGTGATAAAATTCATTGTGATGCTTCCATAAGTACTCAATTAACTTCGGTACATCCTCCCTTCGGAAAATATCCCAAATAGCACTGCCATATGCATTCTCTGAACAATGGTTTTCTGTAACAGACTCTCTAGTCTTATTTGTATCAGGTCTTACGGACCCTAAATCATCAACCCTATTAAGGGAACCTTCATCGTATGTGTTATGTGTTTCTCCCTCAATGTTTTCAGTATGTTCTTGATTACGCATCATTTCAGGATTCCTTCTTTCATCTTTACGAGGTCTCTTTTTCCGCTTTCTACCACAGCGGCGTGTATGCAAGTTTTCTGCTTCATACGTATTCTGCAACTCATCTATGATTTTACTCTGCCATGGCTGACTCTTCGCATTGGTTGTGTGAGTTAGCACATTAACCTGCATAGAAGAAAGAGAACTGTTGGTCATTACCGATCCGAAGTGGAGGAGAGGAGTGAAACACAACATTAACATCAACATAAATCAAGGAACAAGGTCTAGTTTGAACATTCGGAGTTATAAGAGATCAACAGTTATAAGATCAATAAATAATGAATGTGTGCACCTCTGGACATGTAAATCCTATCAAAACATTGGGACAATTTAAGAAAAGGCTTTTCTTATGTCAGAAAAAAGGCTAGGCTTGTTTTATATGTAAAGGTTGAATCAACTGGTTGATCCTGTCGAAAGTATATGAACAAAAGAATAGTAATGAAAAAATCAATAACCTGGAAGAAAGCAACAACGCTTTATAGATGAACTTCAGCAAGAGTTATTGTAAAGAGTAGTACGTACCGCATCAGAAATGTCGCAGTGTAGTTTTGTCACTGAATCACCTCTGCCGAGTTCTTTCAAAGTTCCATAGGCAATGTAAGTTTTGGGTCCCAAATCTGGCTTCAACACGGCAGGAAGTTTGGTAGCAAGATTCAGAATACCAGAATTTGGATGAGTATAATCTTTAAAAGGAAGCATAGCGATAAACTCCGCAGCATGCCTTGGCAAACATTCTTCAAATGAATTTGATGCAGGCCAATCTTTCAACTTCAACATCTCTGGCCATCCATTCCTATACCTTCGACCATCCATGTAGCCTTTGAAGAACCGAAGAATATTTATTTCAACCTGCAGTGTCAAGAACAGACAAAATAGAAGAAAACATATCATGTATTATCATAACTACAGATGCCTCGTAAGGTAGCAAGTGACACCAAAATATGCGTACGTGCATATCCAAAAAAAATGCAAGACAGACACAGGAGCGAAGGAAGTACTCAAATGGCATTCAAATCTAATATATATATATATATATATATATTCACAATGCCACTTGAGTTTATACAATATGGCCAACCAACAATGATTGTCACACAAGCTACACTACAATTCTGATGTCTTTCAGTTTCTGAGTCATTGATCTAACATGCCAACAAAGTAATCAAAAAGAGAACAGTGACATCAACCTCCCTCTCAGGTATGTATCACGTCACTATTGGAACTACTAAAAACAATGAAAATGAAAATATCTCTTAGCTCCGTCTGAAGCCATTAAGTATCCTTTCAGTTCTAATAAGCACTACGCAAGGTGAAAAATGATCTTGATCAACTGAGAGCATAAACTGTAAATGCTATTATTATTCATGCGCAATGTGCTTTTCCATTCAAGCCAACACTTTGTCCATTGATAGTCATGAAAACCATCAATCAAAAATCATGAAAACCATCTATCAAAAATCTTAGTTTTTCATATAAAAACATTAAGTTCTGAATGTATTTATTGAAAGTCACGATGTGCATGAGGCACATAGCAAAGAAGGGAAATTGTAGGATCAGTAAAAAGAAACCATGGAATCACTAAAGTCCCCTATAAACACACAAAAGATGAAAAGTACCTCACACCAATCCAAGCAATCGATAGCTTTAACCCTCTTTGCCTCCTCTTTTAATATCTTTTTTGCACCTACAAAAGCCCTCCGCATAACCAGTGGCTCCCAACTAAGACCAGAACTTTTTTCAAGTACATTTCTAACAATAACAGGTTCACCTCTCATCCAATGGGTTTGAAAATGCTGAATATTATTGTCTTCCAACTGCATAACATCCGGGCAGTACACAACGTTGTCGTGACTTTTCTCTCTATGTGCTGCCTGTCTTACTTCGAAAAAATTTGCTTCATTTCCTGCAGAGCAGCTGGTTTGACACAAAGAACAGCCTCCAGAAAACTTGATATCAGGTAACTGAAAATTAATAATGAGTTCCTCAGAACTCTGAATCAGTTGCTCAACAGAATTAGTTTCAAAGAAGCGTCTCAGTGTAAGTGTCCCACTCCCACAACCACCCCTTCCTTTCGGAGGACAAGGAATCCCACCGTCTGCCTCAGCCCTCCAATCTAGAGGGTTACATGGCATAGACAGCTGGGGAGAGGATTTTGCTTCATTCTCTTCAGGCTGAGATCCTTTTCTAATTTCATGACAGCATGTGACACATAGATCATAGAAACAATCAGGATTCGGGCAGCTTCTGTGGAAATTGACAATGGATGTTTTGCAATTGTCACTGTCAAAGAAGGAAACTTTCATACTCATCACATCATCTAAAGACGGTCATAACTACATAAAAATGTACAGGGTAGTAGAAGACAGCAAGAACTATCAAGATTGATGCCTATCAATCTATACAATCCATTACTAATAATACTACAATTTATGTACTCCTAAGAAAGAATCATGAAATAATCCTGAAGTTTCTTAATGGTGTGAATTGTTTTCAATTTTCAAAAGATAATTAGGAATTTGGGATGGTATAAGCTTTCTGAAGCTGTATCATCAAAGCTGCACTATCCTTGGATAACCCATTTTATTGTCTTCCTACTATATTAAAAATATGTACCCTGATTACCCCTTCACTGAAAGTAATATCAGAAAATATTACATCTCTATCCTTTAGAGCCACATCTACTAAATTCCCTATTAGGGAGGAAAATAAAATAAAATAGCCTAAACTGTGAGATAGATCTAAAGGACAGCTTCTGTTATATATAGAACCGGACATAAGCCAATCCTTCTGTACTAATTTTAAGCTTACAAGCAATCCAGTCTAATGTTTATTAAGAAAGCAAGAGAATTAATATGGTTAAGAATGTAAGCTGCTCCCACATAACTAACATGATATGAGATTTTCAATTAAAAAATAAAGAACAAAAAAAAAAACCATAAATTTCTCCTCGGTATCAAAGATCATGAGATAATACCAATACACTCGATCATCATCATCTATCACTGATAACATTATATCTTGTTCTGTCAATTGCACACCTACGGAAAAGAAGGAATGCATCACTCGGAATTTTGAAGTATCATCTAGCATAAAAACCAAAATTTACAAACTCATATCACATTACAGTACCACGTATACTGGCTTCCACCTCTAATTCAGCATGTTGCTCCTGTTGTATATGCTGAAGCAGAGGCAGAATCTCGTGTAGCAAATAAAGTAACTTTTGCATTTTAATATTTTTATCTGCTTCCTCATGCTCATCCTGTCACATAGCACGATTCATTTGACATCAGAATGTATACTAGGAGACAAACTCAAATTAGCTTGAAAACGAGACAAAGACCTGGGCACCCCTCAAGTTAGGAGAGGGTTTAACGGATGCTGTAGATGCCAGCAGAAAAAGAAAGTGGTGTTGGGGGGACACAGAATAAAACATGAGATAAAACTATTCGGAAGGTCCTTGCTTGTGGTCTTACTAAAGAAATGTTCCTAAATAGAGCACTATGCTGGCAATCTGTGTCAAGTAGTACTAGTACTACAAGGTTTCATTGTTGTTGGCATGAGGATAAAACATGAGATAAAACTATTCAGAAGGTCCTTGCTCGTGGTCCTACTTAAAAATGTTCCTAAATAAAGCACAATGCAGGCAATCCGAGCCAAGTAGTACTGCAAGGTTTCCTTGCTGTTCAATCAGCATGTAGAGTCCCAAAAGTTTAGCAAATAAACAGAAGGAAGAAAATTAATACAAGGCACATACCATGACAACTAGCTTCTCCCTGAGGCATAATCTGCAATTACAATTGCCTTGACAAAATGGACAAGCAGTTTCTACATCCTCTCTTGTTTTCTCAGGATACCTGTAACATTCGCAATGGCGTTAGGAACATGAAATAAAATCCCATTCATATTTACAGAAGGGATCAGCAAAATATCATAGTTCAGGTGATTATAAACAAGAGTCTGATGATATTTCAATTAGAATACAGATACTAGTTCGATTAACAAACTTCATATCCAAGGTTGAAGAATTTAAGAGTTCTTCCAAACAACAAGAAAATGTGTTTTGCAAGAAGTATTAACCATTTTGTAAGGCACTCAAAGCAATAGCGTTTTCTTTTGCAACCGGAACAACTGACAATACTCCTGTTACTCTTCCAGCACTGATGGCACATAAAACCCCTCTTAATAACCCTCTTCACTCTCTTCTGGCTTATTCCGTCCTGACAATGAAATTAAGCTGTAATAATAAATTATCACTAGAAATTGGAATCAAGAAAATCAATCAAAGTGATTTTACCATGAACTTTAGCCTAGATAATTGAAAGGAAATTTCAAAGTGCATGAAACTTTTCCTCTCTTTATACATAAAATGCATCTCCCTCCACATGGTTCCATAACCAATAATCATACAATGATATCCTCGTATCCATTCCCATCTCGTACCACTCATAAAGAAATGAAACTTGTCTTCACAGCAAGGACCCTCTATATTTCACAACTTAGAAGTCAATTTACTTTTGAAAAAAAAAAAAGAACTCTTTGAAAGAAATAGTTGTTGAATTCTTTCTGCAATTCTCCCATATGCATTAGACAATTACAGCAAATTAAAGAAACTATAATTGCAACCAGTTCAAATATTTTGGAAACCTTCTGAAACACTTATAAAGTCACACCAAATCTTCGATTCTATTCTCAATTTAGAGCTTTCCTTTTGACCACAGAGCACAGCCTAACAGCGTATTAGGAAATATGAAAATTAGAAGTTTAATGAATTAGCATATTGAGAATTCAAAAGAAGTAAATTTCCTATCATTCCCTGTGACTTCTTATTAACAAACTGTATATAATGCTTAGTGATTAGTTATTTCAGTTACAACTGTACATTCCCTGAAATAACACTTTCTTCAAAAATCTCATCAGCGGTATGTAAAATACAGTTAAGGTAAAACTCACTGGTGAAACTGAACTTTCTGGTTGGCTGCTTGACTTCTTTTTCCTCACTCTAGTCTTCCTTTGAGCATGGCCAAAATCAGTAGTTAATGCATTTCTTTTCTTGTTTAAACTTCCTTGTACACCAGCTATTAACACTCTCTTCAAGTCTGAATTACCTGAAACACTCTTATCCGCCTTCAAATCATTTCTTTCTAACTGTTCTCTATTTGCGTGAGACTTAATTCTATACTTCCTTTTCACGGTTGCCATGCTAAAAAAAAGTTTTTTCTTATTCTTTGAGCCTTTGGGTCGGCCTCGATTCCACCTTCGACCATCAATCTTGCGAATAACATCCTTATCTTGACTGGCTTCTTTTGCAGCAACAGTTGGCCTCTCATTCTTCAAGTCTTCACAACAATGTTTAACCTTGGGACCAATGTTCTCAGAGTTACCTTCATTAGCACCAGAGAGAATTCCCCTGGCTTCCTCATCTGAAACTGGATTTATCTCACCGCCACAATTAATAGCTTCAATAGGCACTACCATATCTGCAGGCAAGCATCGCAAGGTTTTCTGTTCACATAGTCCAAAATTTTCATCACTAGTCCTTTTCTGCTTATTCTTCAAATCCTTCAGCCGGCCCCGTTTTCTCTTTGGTTGGACAATGTTATTTTCCTTCTCAACTCCATCTGTGCCTTCACCACCCTCAGTTGTACCGGCCATTTCTTGGTTTTCATGAGCAACGATTTTCCGATTCTTAAGAACTTTTGGTTCACCATTCCCATTGTTTAACTGAAAGCTGTCATCACTAGTGCCCCCCTCAATATCACAAGATATGCCTCGGTTCTCACCTGGAAGACTTGTCTTCTCTGAGACCATTGCCGGACCTTCCTTCACTATGGAGCAAACAATCTCGTGTCCAGACTTGTCATCAGCACCAACTCCACTTAACCCTTCTTTGCCTTGTCCAGCAGCAAGATTTTTGTTTCTATGCTTTGAACCCTTTGGCCGGCCACGCTTAGGCTGAGCCTTGAGGGGATTTTTAACCTTACTATCACTTAACCCTTTAATACTCCGTTCACTACCAATAGTTTTCTTCTTATTCTTAGAACCCTTTGGCCTACCACGCTTGCCCTTAGCTTGCCCCTCTCCTTCTTTACTTCCCTTTTGCTTGCCTACGTTTTCAATGTAACCTCCTTGACCAACAAGAAAAGTTTCAAGTTCGTTTCCATAAGTGCCTTTACCATCCACATTGCTACACTCAGCTTCACCAGAAAACAACTGGCTTACTTCGCCACCGACATTCAAACCCTTGTCTGGTTCACCAACAACGCCAAATAGGTCTTCCATTAGTCCATCTGCAAGACCCATTCCACCATTTCCCATCCGAATTTCCCCACCACCAAGATCCCCAAATACACCATCTTGACCGAGCCCAGGAGCAACTCCACCGAAGCCACCAATCCCAAGTCCGAACCCATCTTCATTCTCAACACCCCAAAGCTTAAAACTTTCACCTCCATTCACACCCTCTTCCCCAAACCACTGCAGAACACTCTCAACAATACCACTACCTTCACAAAGCCAACTTTGACCTCCTCCTTGGGCACCCTCATTCTCAACTGCAGCTTTGATTTGATCATCCCCTCCGTGCTTCCCCACCTCCTCTGCCAGTCGATCCACACTCCCCTGACTAGCTCCACCGTCGCCACCACTTTCACTCATCTTCCCAATGTTCACCGCTCAGAGACTTGATGGTCAAAGCTCTGTCTTTTACACTTACTACAACTCGGGTGTCTGTTGTAAGGCACCTTACTATTGATCATTATTTAATCCATTTGATCCTAATCAAGAAATACCTTTTAAAAAAAAGGGAGTTACTTTAGTTTACTGAAAGCTATACCCATTCGATGCAAACATAGAAAGGTAATATCCTAATCCGACGGCTACCGTACAACCCAAAAGGATTAAAATTAAACCATCAAACCAAAAACTACTTCGGTTTTAAAAGCGGGAAAAGCGAATTATCCTAGCAATAATAGAAGTAGGACTGCAGGTGTCCGCAAGTTTAGCAGTTATCGAGATACTTGGAGAGGGTGACACGGGCTCAATAATTCAATCAAAATTAGAACCAAAACAAAGAAAAGGGGTTCATTGCTCAATGGCTGTTCAAGTGGAACCGCAAAAGAAGGAAACCGGATTCAATTATGTTGGTGGACAGTAGAGAGGTCCCACCATTAAAGAGCCATTGTACTTGTTTTGTTTGTTTTACAATTCCTAGGTGATTTGTCCTTGCTGGTAAGAAAATGCGGTTAGCTGCTGCCCAGCACCGCCTCGCTCGCCCATAGAATGAATGCAGGCGGAGGAGAAAGAGGTTAAAAAGAGTGGCCGGTGAATGAAAGAGATCATGGGTTAGTTTTGGATAAGGTCGATCATTTAAATCTCATCTTACTTATTGATGTCTCACATGATGTCTCAGCAGATCTAAATTACTGAATTCAAAGCTTGAACTGCAGGCATGAGCTTTCAGATTGACTGGCAGTCGTCAGACAATATTTTCAAATATTTTTTAAAATCATACGAAATATTTAGTTTTTATTTTATTTTACTATCCAACCGCTAAACTTAATGAGTTCAGTATTTAAACTATAAATTTCGGTCCGTTTTAATCTGACCTAGGGATCTCCCAATATGAATATTACACGAAAAAATTATCTTAAAAACAATATGAATATAAAAAAATATACAATTTATTAAAAAAAAGTAAACCATTAATTTATCAAAATTTATATGCATGTATAAGCGATTCTGAGAAATGGCTTAGAATGGTCAATATATTCTAATCTGACCTAGTTTTATAGTTTTTTTTTTAATTTCAATTTGGATCGGATTGGATAGAATTTTAGAGAAGACGGTCAGAATTAGGATAAAATTAAATTGGGTAAATTTTTCAATAACTCGACCTAATAAAGATAATTACTATAATGCCCTTACATATACTTTAAATATAATTAATATAATACTCATATATATTCGATTGTATCTCTCTGTGTCCAAGTGAATTTTTATCCCAAAATCTGAAACGGGTTCGGAACAGGTGGAATATCAACAGGGACCGAAAGAAGCCTTCAATTTTCGGGTATGGTGAGGGTAACCGAAAGCCGTTCCGCCCCGCCCCGCTCATGCCCATCCTTAAACCGGCTTGGTTCAGAATTTCAAATAACTTGAAAATCTAAAACTGCCTAAAATAGACTTCGAAAGACAATATTTCCAGTTTGGGGGCTTGATTTAGGGTGAGAAGAATGTGTCTCCTATCAGTGTTAACCAATTAAGAAAATAAATGTTATTTACTAAAGACGCAAATCTGGTGTCTGGACTACATTTTGAGAAACAACTAGGCATTATTTTTACCATGAGAAAAGCATATTTTGATCAGGAGAAAAAGTCTAAATAAAAAACACATAAATATTTTGCCTTTCTCAAGTAATTCATGATTCTGCACTCTTTCCAATCTGATAACACTAGACTTCGGTTGTTATTATCTTCTTGCTGCCTGAAACTGATGCTGCCATAAACATTGATGTTATGGACAAGAAAACTTTTGACAAATACTGCAAATTTGGTACGTGAGATAATATGAACTAAGACCCTTTTTCGGTTCAGAGTATGATTCAGATTTACCTGGGTTGCATATGATGAGCTTTGAGCAAGAAACTTGACAAAGTCTTGCTTCTTTATTTCAAAATTGAACTTGGAGTTGTTCAGCAGTGCGAGTTCCCTCTTAATATCCTCTTCCAACTTTTCCTTTTGCCATCTCGTCTCTTTCATCCGCTTCTCGGTTTCATTGTAGCTTTGCAGCTCCTCCGACATTGTCGAGGTCTTGGGGAATCTCACATCTATCTCTTCCCTAATATCAAACAGAGTCGAAACAATGATGCAATAACAAACTAACGTGATTAATCAAATAAAAACTTAAGAGTTTGTTTTCCATACACCACCAGCAAAGGTTTTAACGTCCACAAGTAGGATTAATAAACTATTTCATATCTCAGTTTTTTAACCTTTTTTTGTTTTTGTAGTATACACTTTTAAGAGTATCGACACTAGTGGAATCTAAAAATTCCACTGGCAGTCGATAAGTTCCAAAATGTAAACTACCGAAACAAAACCTAAAATTCTTCTAAACAAGTAGTTCAATGACACCTGCGCACAGATAAAATGATTCACAATTTTTCTGCAGTTCCACCTTTGCTCGAAAACATGCTAGGCAATAAAGTGACACTATAATTTGTTATACAATAAAGTAATTTAATATTATTAGAACTAAATTAATATCATTCATGGACTATGAGAAAAATGTGAATAAATTTCAACATTTTTATTATACCCTAAGACATCTGAATCACAGGCAAACTGTGCATCTGTTCCAAAATTGATGGAGTATAAAATAAGTTTTATGTATAATTTTCTTTATTCAAAAATGAATTTTGTCATTTCCTAGATAGAGCTTCTTACCGAGCGCCTAGGGAAAAAACACCATTGCTTCTGATTATCCCACCGTCCAGAGAGACTGCTCCCTCGCTTATACAAGGAAGAGCAAGAACCATCTCTGCCCTGGCTCTGTATACTTGAAGACGGGAGAACAAATTATAAAATAACGTCTCTCTGAGGCCCTCCCCACAGGCAGTCATAAAAGATAAGTTTGAGCTGTCCACATGAATCATATTCACTGCAAAGCCAAGAAAGCCTGCAGGACACTCCCCATTCGGTAATCTTGGCTTTAAGAGATCAAGCCTCCTCTGGGGGTCATCAGCTATAAAATCACCAGCATAAGGTCTGCAGGAGGAGGCAGAGGAATAGAAAATTATGTTTAAGATATCATCAATAAACAAGGTTTTGTTAAGAAACAAATATAAGAGTCTGATACCTTAAACTTTCAAGACAAATTACAAGAAATCGGCCATCTAGAGATCTCCCAATAGAAGCTGCAATCCCGTGCAGACCGGAAGTTTTATCTATGCAGCCATCCTTGTTGAATGTTTCCAAAGCTTTAACACCATCAAAAGTTTTACAAACAATTGCCAACATAGTCGGCACTCCGAGGTACTCCGAGAAAAGCCTAAAGATAAATAAGGAAACATAAAGCCAGACATCAACTATACGTCAGAGTGAACAGTTTTCATAAAATACTCGATTAAGAGTCCATTGTAATCTATTTAATGAACAGGCAGCCCTATTCATAAGAAATTCCTCAAATAATTATAATGCAGCACATGCACTCAATCATCTCCAACAAACACAACCCATCCGAGGTCCCGAACATAAGGCATAAGCTACAAATTCTTCCCCCTTTTCCTCCTTCAAATTGACCCCAGTGCATGAACTATCCAGCCAAGCAGAATGATAAAGTTATTACTTTCTCATGCAAAAACATCCAACATATTAGAAACTGCACCCGAGTGACAAATGAAATCTTGTCAGGCATGATCCAAAAAGATTAATAAAAAATATACTTTCGAACAGACCTATTAAGATTTTCATCATCTACTTTGCCAAGTGTAGCGACAGCACCCAGTACATCTTTTGTCAAACTCAAATGAGAAGCTTGAGGGTCAAGATGGGTTTTCAACTGACATAGAATTCCTGCTGCTGAGTTTTCATGCCGAAGAATTTGTTCAGTTATTTCATGCTCACTTTGAAGGTGGGACTGGTCCTTGTTCTCAATAGGCGAACTAGAGGAATGATACTTGCCAAGCAAAACTGAGAAAAGATCAATTTATAGCTGGCAAAGTGGAAAATAAATATGCAGCATATATGTTCATCAAGATTCAATGTATTGTTACATGAACTTTGCTCTTGGTACAAATATCCAGTATGGGTATGTGAGCATGTGTTACATTTGATTATTCAGCTAAGAAGTATCCAAAGATAACATATGGATACATGGATCATTCCAAATATTGTAGGGAATATAATAATGCTACTTATATAAGTCAGAAAACTAGAAAAATCAATTTGACTCAATTACACTCTTCTGTTTATAGGGGCTAGCGTTAGAAAAGAAAATAAATGGGGCCATCCTGCTCAAGACCAACCTTTAGCTCATATTTTACTCTCTTTTTTTTTCATTTTTCTGAAATGGGCTTAAAATGAAATAATATCAATGCTATATCGGCTTGAATTGTGTATTTTTTGGTTTTTTTCATAGAAACTGAAATCTAATTAAAAGGCAAGAGCCAAAAATAACCACCAGGCGCACTTACCCTTGTCGTATTTCTATGGAGAATCTTCATCTTGACTCTTAATCTTACTTAATTTTCTCACAAAAAGAAAAAATAATCTTCCAACTCATCTATATTTTTCCCCTTCCCCCCTCCTTTTCTCAATCCTCACTCTATCTTTTCAGAATCTTCCACTCAGTGATCATTAACAATGCTATCCACTAATTTCTCTTGATCAATCTGGATTGAGTTTTTCCAATCTGCTGCCTACAAGGAACAGCCAAGTATGAATAACCAGTGCAATATCAGATGTGTATTCTGCCCCCTTTTCTGTGTCACATTGGGTCAACAAAGATATGGACCCTACAATGCCAAGTCCACGTAACACGTGTTGCTAAACTCAAAATCATCCCATTCAAAAAATAACTAATATCAGAAGACTACCTTATTTGCACCAATAGTTACATCAAAATTATAGCAATGCCGGTGACACATAGTTACAGGTGGAGTGCATGCGGAGCCAGATCTAGACAATTAAACACGATAATATAGTGTGTCATATGTAGCTGGATGTAAACCCTT